GTGAGTAATCATCAATAAAACTCACGAAATACATGTATCCTCCCCGTGATAGTACGCTAACTGGTCCCCAAACATCTGTATGGACATAGTCGAGAACCTCCTCTGTCTTGAACTGCACCCTATTCTGTTTTCCAAAAACACAATATTTGTAAAAATTGAGCTTGCATGTCTTGACACCCTTCAATAGATTTTTCTTATGAAGCTCTATCATCCCACGCTCACTCATATGACCCAGCCGCATATGCCACAAGACTGTATTATCTGATTCAGACTCTACAGCAGCAACTCCACCTACAATTGTAGTACCCAGCAGTCTGTAAATGTTTCCTACTACTTTCTGTCCCTTCATCACTGTCAGCATGCCTTTACTTACTTTCATTACTCCACTTATAGATTTGTAACTATAACCATTACAATCCAAAGTGCCCAATGAAATCAAATTCTTCCTTAGATCCGGTACATGTCTAACATCACACAACGTTCTAACCATACCATCAAACATCTTAATTCTAATATTTCCTATTCCAACAACTTTGCAAGATGCATCATTACCCATCAGAACAGAACCAGAATTTACTGACCTGTAGGTGTCAAACCAATCTTTGTTGGGTGTCATGTGATAGGAACATGCTGAATCCATAATCCAAGAATCTGTTAAACGATCTGAACTAGATAAAACAGAAAGCATATCTCCGTCACCACTCTCTGAATCTTCTTCTTCCACTACGTTTGCAGACTTTGATGCACCCTCTTTGTTCTCTGAATCCCCTTTCTTTTTCTCTGGACAGTCCCGTTTAAAGTGCCCCTTTTTCCCGCACTTGTAACACGAGACAGAGACGTCCTTCTTCTTCTTCCTCGACTTGGACCGGGCTTTATTGTTACCCGATCCATTCCGAGATTTGCTTCTTCCACGTTCCTGGTTACCTTTCACCACAAGCCCTTCACCTTGTGAAGCCTCATCACTAGCTTTCTTCCGCTGATGAAAACCTAACAGAGCACCTGTGACATCCTCCAACTCGAGGGTTTCTTTCCCCCACATCAGAGTCGTAACCAAATTCTCGTACGTAGGAGACGCCGGTAGGGAATTCAGCAACATCAGCGCCTTGTCTTCGTCTTCGAACTTCACATCAACTCGCTTCAGATCGCTGATGATCTGATTGAACACGTTGATGTGTTGGGTCAAATCCGAGCCCTCTGACATCTTAAGACCATATAATTTCTGCTTAAGATAGAGCTTGTTCGTCAACGACTTGGACATATACCGACTTTCCAGTTTCAACCAAACTTCCGCCGGTGATTCCTCATCCATGACGTGATACATCACTTCATCAGCCAGACAAAGCCTAATAGTCGCCACAGCCTTCGCTTCCAATTCTTTCCAATCCATGTCGTCCATTCCTGCCGGTTGTTTTCCGTATAATGCCTTCACCATGCCCTGCTGCACTAACAGGTCCTTCACCCTCCTCTGCCATAATCCGAAATTCCCAGTTCCGTCGAACTTCATGATGTCGAATTTTGTAGAGGAAATCCCAGACATCGTAGTCTAGCTCTGATACCAATTGTTGTGATCGTGTAGCAATTATGGTGAATAGTAAGGAATCAAACAATTAAGAAAGCATGAGAAAATAACACACAAAGATTTACGTGGTTCGGCAATGTGCCTACATCTACGAGAGCGAGCGGTCGTTCTTTTTCATTATAGAATAGGGTTACATCTTAAGTATTTATATAACCCTAATATGGACGTATTTACAAAAATACCCCTGTACCGTACCACGGGGGCGTTGCCCCCGCACCCCCAACTAATCAGCGTCCCTTTTATATAAATCCCGCAAGACAGATGCCGTCGCGAGCTCCACTCCGGCATCTGCCTCCTTGCCATTATGCACACAACAAATATAAGCCACACATACTCTAACAACAAACTTGTAGTATTATAATTGCGACTAAATGTGCAAAAACGTAACACANTGCACATACGTACAAACTTGTAGTATTACAATTCCGACTAAATATGGAAAAACGTAACACATCCCACACAAGGAAAAAGAGCAAAAAACCAAAAAAAAATGCTATTTTTAGAAGGAAAAAAACACCAAGAAAAAAGATACATAAAAAGCGTTATGAAACCTAGCGTAATATATGCCGAACACTTACCTGGAAGAAGCCTTTGGTGCGACAAGCATTTCCAATGTTTTTGATGATGAGAGAACGTTGTGCAGGGTCCTTATCCAACCCAGCCAAGTCAATGACAGGCACATTGGCTGTCTCTGGATTTAAACTAGGTCTATGTGAAGGTGGAATCATATAACATTCAGGTACATGTGACAATCCTTTTTCTTGGGCCGTTTTGCCCATTGGAAAAGAGCTTGATGAACCCTCATTCTTGCTATCCATCCTTGTCTCAAAGAGAAGGAGAGAGAGAAAGAGAGAGAGAGAGCTCAAAAATGTAGTGTAGATGGAGAGAGAATGGGTTAACACCACCAATGAGCTAAAGGGTATTTATAGGAATATGTGACCTTAATTATATCGTGTGATACGTTCTCCAACGCAGCGATATGCCCAACCTTTTCTTATATTGATCTATCATATGATTCGTGATTATTCATTTTATGACGGTATCACAAATGTGTACAAGTGTTATTTGATTTGCTTACTGATACTATAATCTTGAATCATAAATGAATTGTCTTTGTCTTTTACGTCGTTGTTTTGTGTGTAATGTTGACTTTGTTTGAAACTGCTTGAATTGGGTGCGTCCGTCCAAACGACCCTTCTGGCGCATGGGCCTTGCATGACGGTATTGGAATCTATAACGTTGTTGCAACGAATTGATTCTAGTCTCGACTCTGTGTGAAAATACTTCGGTAACGCCACACCTCATATAATATTATCATTTAATTATAAATAAATATGTAAGATTAGTAGATTCATCAAATGTTATGATCACTAATAACCTCTACATTCACATGGAAGTAAGGGGTTCACTTGCTATACTTGTTTATTTATTATTAATCAATGACACTACATAACGATCATGATATGATGTAATCATTGCAGTAAATATTTACTCCAAATTTGGGCAAGTGGATGGGATTTTGGAAAGATTTATGGTATTGGGACATAATGCATTGTGACCATTAGATTATCAGTGGGTTGCAATATTAAATGCACCCCACTATCAATCTAATGATAATAATGCATTATATTCTTAAATTATGTCTTAATAACATTAATGTTTTTGAAAATACGGCAAGAGGTACGTTAGTAACATGCCGACCGCCCTGCCGCTGGTAACATGACGATTTTGTTTGGAAGAGAATACATACACTTCA